ATTGTCTACGTTTCGCAGGCATAAAGTAGAATAAATCGAACTGCCGCGCAGTATTCTCGTCCTTTTATTGATAGACGGATATCTCGCCTCCACCAAAGGTGACGTAAGTTGGCAAAAGCCAAGCGAGCTTTTCGAATCCGTGCTGAGATTTCGTCAGACACCAACCCATTAGGGCTGATCAGACTTCCAAGATAAGTGAAGTTGTCAACGCGTTCGACTACTTCACTCCCTATCCTTAGTTCAGGTGTTGACGCAGACCAGTCCTGAAGCAACAACTTGCATTTCGAGGGAGAGAAGCGCATCCCAAACATTCTGGCATTGTTGCTCAGTGCTATCAAAAGATTCTACATTTTATCAGCGTCTTCACCAAACAGGACTATATCATCTGCGTGTTATAAGTCGATAAGTGGACCTCCTGGAATGAGATCAATTCATGAAACTTCAGTCGACGAGAACGTTATTTGCATCAGTAGGTCTATGATGGAGTTAAACAAAAATGGGGAAAGTGGACAGCCTTGACGGACACCACATCTTTAAAATTGAAAGGTGGGGATTTTTCTTGTATGACTTCTCGTTCATTATTGATTCGTTTTGTACTTTCTGCGTGTCGCTACAATTGTTTACATTTTACACATTCATATTTCGGATTCATGCGCAAAGCTCAAGTAGAAATAACCACGTAAATTGTATAGTTTTAGAAAACCCATAATGAGATTCAACTTTTTTGCATACTGTAGTTGCTCTTCAAGAAAATGAGTACAGAATACATAATAGAAAGGTCTGTAACTCTATGATTGGAACACTTGATGACCACTTAATGTTCTAATACTACAATAGGAAACAAACAAATAATTCGAATTCACTGAAGAGCATCATGACTCTCAAGATAACAGGTACGCCTTGTAGACAAGTGCCAAAGAACACGAAGTCTAGATCCAGTGATTCCTGTCGGCTACTCCGATTGCCTAGCATCTCAAGGTGGTGCACACATTTTAGTCATTTGAACTAGTGATAACATCGGCACTTAGTCGAGAGAATTTTATCAGCACTAAAACGTGTAGACAAACATGATATTAGTTGCTACCCAGTGACCGATCAGTTGTCTACAAGTGGTTATTTCATGTAATCTACAGATTATATTTACGACAAAATTACGCATTCATTTATTGCTGGACACCTTATAAATCAGAATAAAAGTGGGACATTTTTCAATAGGTAGTAGGCTTGGTAGAAGACTGCCGCTCGTTCTGGGTACATGTTTAGACTCTGATCATGCTCTAATACGAGTAGGCATATGCCTGTCATATTAAGACCCACGAGAGTTGAACCCAGTGACGAGAAAAGCAGAAGTAGATTCCAGGAACAGCTGAGGTCACACTTAGGTAGTTCTGAAAACGAAGCTGACCCAGATGTTGCTTGGAAAGATATACAAGCAGCTATGGAAACAGCAGTGACATCTATCAGTGATTTAAACCAAAAAATCACGAACAACCGGTGGATTTCTGCTAAGTTTATTACACTAACAGATTCTCGTAAACTCATTCCATCACGCTCTGAACACGATAAAGAGCGAGGACAAATCAGATGTAGATTAACCACAAGTCTAAAGAACGACCGTGAGCAGTGGTGGGCAACGAAAGCAAAAGAGGTAGAAAAGGCGGCGGCTGTAGGGAACACAAGACAGTTCTTCAGACTAACGAAAGAAATTGGGATTAATAAGTCAAGTGTAAGTGAAGCTATCTCGGGAAAAGACGACACTCTTATCTGCTTCCTATCCAGACGTTTAAAACGATGGGCGGAACACTTTAAGGAGTGGTTCAACTGGCATTCAGCCACTCAACAAATACACTCCATTCCCAAACAGCCGGATGGAACATTAAGGCAGGCCCCCAGACTCCAATCGAAGTTCAGAAAGCCACAGCCTATCCGAAAAGAGGAAGCGCAGTTGGTCCAGATGGATTGGCTCCAAAGATCTTTAAAGATGTTGGTCCAGTTTTAGCGATTTGGTTGACTAATATTCTAACTAAAACCTTGGAACTAGATGTAATCACATCTGACTGGTCGCAATTGCTGATGATCAAGATCAACATGTGATAATCACTGAGGGGTTAGTTTGACTAATACAGCATCTAAAATAATTATCTCAATAATTATCGGACGCCTAGCAAACACTCTTGATCTGCAAACACGAGGAAATCAGACTGGCTTCGGACCTGGTCGTGGTTGCATCGACCACATATTCATCATTCATCAGGTTCTAAAACACAGGCATACTTATCGGCGTCCGACAACGGTGGTCTTTCTTGACTTAAAAGCAGTATTTGACTCCGTGCACCGCGGGATTCTGTGGCAGTATCTGTCATTGAAAGGAGTACCTCAGAAGTACATAAACCTTGTGAAGGCTCTTTACTCGAACACTACTAGTCGAGTCAGAGCTTATGGAGGACTGTCATCTGCTTTTGCAACCACAAGTGGTATCAGTCAGTCAGTCAGCTACAACGTAGGACCAGGCACATATGTGCATCGGTCCAGGTTCCCATACCTCATTAGCACAACAAGATGAACACCGGATTCATAGGAGTGGTTAGGTCAAAGGTTGCAATAAGGATATAGTATAGGAAGGAAGAATTAGTTCGTAGAAAGAAAGATATGAAGTGATTTTACTCTCTTAGTTTAAGGGAAGACAGGGAGTGTATACACCGACGCCATTGTGATCGATTCTGAGCCATGTCACCAAGAGTCTCCAACCATTGGTTACGAAAGTCACGCGGACCCCAACCAAGTAGTCTGCATCTACCAACATGGTATTCGTGAAGCCTGTCCACTTTCTCCATTTTTGTTTAACTCCATCATAGACCTACTGATGCAAATAACGTTCTCGTCGACTGAAGTTTCATGAATTGATCTCATTCCAGGTCCACTTATCGACTTATAATACGCAGATGATATAGTCCTGTTTGGTGAAGACGCTGATAAAATGTAGAATCTTTTGATAGCACTGAGCAACAATGCCAGAATGTTTGGGATGCGCTTCTCTCCCTCGAAATGCAAGTTGTTGCTTCAGGACTGGTCTGCGTCAACACCTGAACTAAGGATAGGGAGTGAAGTAGTCGAACGCGTTGACAACTTCACTTATCTTGGAAGTCTGATCAGCCCTAATGGGTTGGTGTCTGACTGAAATCTCAGCACGGATTCGAAAAGCTGGTTTGGTTTTTGCCAACTTACGTCACTTATGGTGAAGGCGAGATATCCGTCTATCAATAAAAGGGCGAGAATACTGCGCGGCAATTCGATTTATTCTACTTTATGCCTGCGAAACGTGGAGAATAAGAGTAGAAGGTACTCGTAAGCTACTAGTATTTGACCACAGATGCCTTAGAAATATTGCTGGCATCTGCTGGGATCACCGGGTAAGTAATAGTGAGGTTAAATGCAGGGTATTAGTGAATGATGGTAAATCAGTTGATGAGGTTGTGAATCTTCATCGATTGAGATGGTTGGGCCACGTGTTAAGTATGCGCGAACACCGATTTCCATGACGTGCAATGCTAACCGGTGTTCGGGGTGGTTGGAAGAAAGTTAGTGACGGCCAAACCAAAACGTGGCATCGGTGATTGAAGTCACTAACTTCTGGTCTGAGCCATGTTGGCAGATGCAGACTACTTGGTTGGGGTCCGCGTGATTGTCGTAACCAATGGTTGGAGACTCTTGGTGACATGGCTCGGAATCGATCACAATGGCGTCGGTGTATACACTCTGTCTTTCCTTAAACTAAGAGATTAAAATCGCTTCATATCTTTCTTTCTACGAACTAATTCTTTCTTCCTGTACTGTATCCTTATTGCAACCTTTCTTTTATATATTACTACCTCTGAATTAACTACTTTTATGAATCCGGTGTCCATCTTGTTATGTTAATGAGGTATGGCAACTTGGACCGATGCATATATTTGCCTGGTCCTACATTGTAGCTGACTGACTGACTGACGCAACGCTATTGGTAAGTTATTATTCGTCTTTCTACTTAGTTAACTTTATATGCTATAGACTCACATTGGGACCGCAAATAATCCACTACTAAGTGCATCACCTGTGAGGAGTTATGATTTAGGCTGGTAGCTTTTTGAAAACTACCTTCAAAATAAAGAATTTTCACACAGCAATAATAGGGGAAGCCAGTTGTTACAAACGCTTTTATAATTAGATTGGCCAATGATAACTAAACAAGTTTTACACTTGTTTCTTGATATTGGAAACAGTACATCTAACATTAATACTTTTAAGTAAAAACAAATTCTCAAATGTGATAAAATTGATCCATTTGGGAACAAAGTACTCAAATATGATGAAGTACGTAAACGTACACCGAGTATTTGTTTTAGGTCAGTGAACACGATGCGAAGGTTGGGTTTATATGAAGAATGTATAATCTCCGGTTAATGATGATTCAATTCACAATCGGCATGTGCAACAAGATGGAGAGACCCACGCATTCTTACACAAACATGCACCTATGCATACATACATAGTTATGACAAGTTAATCGAGCCAAAAAGAAACGATACACGATGTTAGCTATATGCTGATACAGCATAATTCGCTGAAAAGTTTTACAATTATATGATAAAAAAATATACATCAACAGAATTACAATGATGATTTTAACACTACTATTTGCTCCATACAAATAGTGATCAATCAATACTAGCACATCACTAAAAGATCATGTATATAAAAAAGTACTTGATTGGGCATACAAGACATTTGACGAAGTTGTTTGGGAAGGAATCAAAAACCATAATAAATAAACATAACTATCATGATTTCATGTGAAAGAAGTCTAGCTTTTTTCAGTTTATGCACAAAAATCGTGTTTGTGTTATGAAAAAAATGAAAAAAACTTGTTTCTTAGCAAGCATTAAGCGAATAGAAATTGCTGAAACAAAACATAAATATACGACATTGAAGTGTTTGAAGGAAGAAGTCAAGAATTAACTTACCATAATAATCAGTTGAACGACCTGCTAATCAAATACAGTTTATAGAATATACTACCACAGAATGTCTCAATATCAATCTATCAATTTTTCCACGTATCATAACTTTATTCAATATGTGAAAGGTTTATGAGAATTTATGTCCTTTCCAGAGAGTAGTAATCAGGAACAATGTGTTATTGGAGAACCGCTCACATTATTCTGTAAGACTAAACCTGTCACTAACAGTGATCAAATACAGGTACAGTGATATGGGACCCCATCACTTCGAAACTAGTAAACAGTGAGGTCACTGTTTTATTAAATCACCGTTTCTAGTTACTCTACGAAAAATTCAAGGATTATCTGATCTGCATCTATAAACATTCGTTTCTATTGTTATCCAAGTATTTGAAAGTCAATAACTTGACATCATTTGATTTTGATCAAGGTTTGAAATTACTCTAACCACACTTATGCCTGACTGCGGGCTATTTCCTTTCTAGTGTAGATTGAACATAGTTTAGAGATACAACAGGACATAGTTATGCGATTTTAATGATGTTTCTTAACTTCGTTGGTAGAGATTATCCAGAATTTATAACATGCAATAGAGTTTTATTATTGTAGCGAGTGGTTATATGGAATTTAAACGGATTGATTGGTAATAAAGAGCTGTTTAGTACAGCTATGGGATATAGTTTAGGTAGATATTATGTATGGAACGATCATGGGGTGAATGTGTAAACAGAAAACAACTATAATAGAAAACTGAAACTGAGAAATATGTTGCTTACTTTCCCGTTCTTGAGGTTCTTCTAGAGTCTGAGTTTCTTTGCTATAAATTATGGTTTCCGGAGGAGGAATCGCAATCTCAAAAACATCGGAAACTTGCAAATTTTTCCGTTTCTTGGAATTACGTTGGCTAACAATAAAAAGTGTGGCAGGAATAAGGAAAAGGCATATGAAATCATCCTAAATTCATGAGTATTGAGTAAGGAAACAATTGTCATCATCTTGCAATCTATGACATCAGAGCAAATTCACTTTGCGATATTTCACTGTAGTTAGCGGAAAAGCGAAGCTGAAAGTTTTCTTGAGTGTGATTTTGTAATAGCTGAACTATTTGTTTATCTTGCCTAAATTAGGGTTTGCCAAAATATCTTTTCATTTATGTGCGTGGCAGATATTCACACTAACGAATTAAAGTTATTTGCATCCGAAGTTGACAGCAGAGCTAATAAAAGCATGGAGTAAACAGATGAGAAATGGGACAACGTTTTTGGCATTAGTCAAACAAACAAATTTCCCACACTAAATATTTGTAGAAAAACTATATGCTGGTTTCGCATGCCTGTTTAAAAGCTTAGTTGCAACGAAAATAACAGTGAAAACAGAACATATCAGTAAACAGTATTGCAAGCCAATTTCAAATTACGTTTTCGAAAGATTAAGAAGCACTGACAACTGGACGCAAATCGTTTTAGCATAATTAACAAAAAGCTTTTAATATGTACATTCGGAAAAAGACGTTTAACAAAGAAGCCTTCAGCTTTCCATAACTTTAATTTATTAACGGCGTATGTGTCCCCTGGTGTTCAGATGGATCATTTTTCCACAACTGATGTAACCATGAAAGGTGAAAAAAATCGAAAATATATACTGTAAATAAACCAGATCGCCTTACAATACATACACTGATCGATAAGCAAAAAACTGATAAGAAAAACTCACAGCACGCCATCGATCGTATCAAGAGACGGTGATTCTAGTTCACGTATGGTACTAGCCTGAGGTACTACGGGTTCAGGTAGGCCAAGATCTTTTAATAATTCCTCAGTCGTTTGACGTATGTCTGAAACTTCAGAATCGTAAATACCAGTTTTCTTTATTTCCTCTCTTTTCTTTTTTTCCTCTCGCATAGCAAGAAGCTTTGCTTTTTTTCGCTCTAACTCCGCTTTCCGGTCTGACATCAGGACAGCGATTCTAAAAACTCAGGTAGCGGTCCTGTCGAATTGTACCCAAAAGGTTGTCGATAATAAAGTAACTGCAACAAAAATACAACTATTTAACGAAATTTTCTTAATTACTTCTTCGACGAAATAGTTGCGAAATGACGATATGATGCAATGTTGTTTAAGTGCACACTAAAATTCCCGGTTGTTCGGATGATTACGTTACTCCCGAAATTAGTTTTAGGTAGGTCAGTGGTTCTTAGTATATGGAGTCGTATAGCCAGACTTTCAATAGTTTTTGAAAATAACTGACCGCGTTTAAAAAGAGGCAACACTTTGAATATGTAAGTCTATTTACTAAAAGCTGTTGACTATATTTCTTGAACGTATGACTGTTCAGTCGACGTAGAAATGATGCTGAGTAGTACATAAGTATGGATACGGTAGGCAAATGCTAAATTACTTAACTCGACTCCTACTTTGCATAGTCCTGCGCAATTATGGATTCATTTTTAAGGTGTAGATAACTGTGTGACCCCTCCGTATGAATTTAAGTTGGCTATCCCATCCTCCATAAACAGAGTTTTTGGCAATGTACTATATATTGGGCAGGATAAATAATAACAGTTGTTACAGTTCGCTTCAAATGTTGTGGGATTTGTTTGTTCCTCTTTAGAAACAAGTGTATATAGCTTCCAACTTGTAGGAATGCCGATACAATCATGCAACTATTGGTAGGCTGCATCCGTCAGCATGGCTCAGACGAATTGATTGACTATATGCTGACATCACATGTTGGTTGTTGTGGCTCTTATTTTAAATGTCCGAGTTTTAGGAATTTCCACACTTAAACATAACTTTCTAATTTCTTTAGAGTAGTTGAGTGATGCTGTCTATATAAAAAATATGATTAATCACGGTCGTATCAGGTAGCGTTCTCGTGAAGCTTTACAAATTGTACATGATTCTAAATTTGTATCGCACGTTGTTTCCATACAACTGATTCCAATAAATCATAGATCGTATTCGCTGCACGACTTATCATGTTACTGTTTTCCTCTTCTAACGTCATACAGGTGATCTTTTCACTGTTTGCAATTACATTAGTTACCGGAAATCGAAATGCAACTCAATGGGACGTTCGACGTGAAGTTAGGTAAAAGTTTTCTAGATCGAGATTCAACATCCTACATGACCATGCGTTGTGATTTCATGCCCGCTTCTGTCGATCGTTCACAACCTGGGTCAATCAAAGTAAACGAGAGCAAAGAAGTTGTTGTTAGCCTGCCCAACGTTACAAACTCTGGACCAGATACAGCAACTTTGTTTCGTGGAACTGCACGTCCTGTTCAAAAAGAATGTATTTTGATCTACAATAAAAAGGTGATTCTACAAATCCCTTAAAAGTATTTTGAACACAACTTTGATTTTCACATTTGATTGTTTAACGTATTTTAAACCAAGATAAAGGTGCAACACATAATTACTGTCACTGTTTATTTTCGCCAAATACCCTGGTACGGCCGAGGGTGGGAGAGTTAGCTCTCCCTCTCGAAATGCTCTCACGTATACAGCCACTGCCAGGGGAGTCCTACCCATTGCCTTCTCGCAGAGAGGGTGTTGTTTACAAAATGGACAAGACAAAAACCGAATATCCGGTGCTTTAACCGGGTTGGTGGTACGAAGGGTTTACCTAGGGGAGTTGGAAAACCCTGATTTCAAATCAGTGGTGCACATAGTCTCTAAAATACTGAGGGGGGAATGGCGTGTGAACCTATTGTTGGTTACCGACTACCGTAGTACTTCATCTTCTAAAGTTGCTCTACTGCCCTTTGGATTAGGCCTTCGTGCCAAAGGCTCGGGGTGTGACCCGGGCAGTATCCCAGCTTTCACACAAATTGGTGATAACTGCTACTGGCCTCAGTGTTATTGTGTGGCTCATATGTATTGGGTGTCTCCTTGTACCAATGTTTATGTAGTCAAATAAATAAAAATAAATAGATAATTAAGTAGTTTTTGGTTGTTGTCTGCTGCTTCACCTCAGGATTACTCGTAGATCTTACTAGATTCTAAACACTGATTGACAAACATTTTCAGAATTATTTCGTTGACTAATAATGGTCGTGTTTTCCAAATGTTATTCATAAACCAATGCATGGCTGAGTTATCCAACTGTTCTTTTTCGTGTTTTATGTACAATAGCCAGCTTTGCTTTTAGCTTCAAGATTTTCTGGATACTCTACAGTTGTACTAACGTAAACTCTTACTGCATCATTTCAATTTTTTGAGATCCCACTCAATCAAACTTAACGTAGTCACCATGTTCATGTTTATGCATCCAGCTTTAAAGCATACTATCTAGGTATTCAAATCGACATGAGATAAACGGTGTTCGGACTTTCAACTCAGGTTACTAAGCGTGTCTTGGCCTGTATACCACTGTTCCATTTCAATGCACTCGGTAGTTACACACTTTGGATTCTCGTTGTTTGTTTAGAGAAAATTGACATTCCGTAGTTTATCGGTCATTGACTTTGAAAGGTATGAGTCTCTGAAACACGCTTATTCCGCAGAAATTGAATAGACAAGAGATTCTAGTTTTTGTGTCATTTCTGTGGACTTCATTGTATGTGTTAGTTTGTGTAAAAGATCACAATATAGTTGGTGTAACTGGTACACTATCGAATGCTAAGTACTAGTGAGAAATATTTTATTATTAAATGAATCTATAACAAGTGAGCAATAAATGAATTTTGTCCAGCTTACTCTCAATGATCCCTATCTTGTTCGTTTCAAAATTGAAAAAAATTAAGATTGGTTAGATTTAGTAACATTTTCACAGTGTTTAGGGAACTTGAGTCGGTAATTGTCTATACATTTTCTACACCCTATAGTCTTATCCAACTGGCACTATTTGTTCAATTCATTCACATTCGTGGTTCTGTACATAATAGTTTGTTGCCTAACTGCATCAAACTATTGTCTGAAGGGTAAATTACTAAAAAAAGCCCAATCCATAACATACGTCATACAATTTGTAAAACCATTACTGTTGTATGTTGCGCGTCGATAATAAACCTTACTATTTTCAAACATCTCTTCTTTTCCTTTTGGATAGTTCGAGATGCTTATCATTACCTTTTCTGCTTAAAATGTTAGTTTTGTATTTGATATACCTTTCTCTGTTACTTGTGTTAACCAGACTACTAGTTTTCCTCCTTATCACCGATATGTTTTGTGTTACTCCCTTAGACCCATGAATTAACCTTGGAGAGAATTGCACATACTGTGCAGCTAAAGAAAACCCGAGAAGAACGAAAAGCTGACACCACTTGTCCGACCAACTCAGAAATGCCACAGTTCCAGTCCTTGGCTAGCCGCTCAGAACAAGATTTAAAATCTGTTCGACCATCTCCAACCAAAAGAAAATCTAATGATCCCGAGATATCGACTTCGAGTTCTATAGTACAACAGCCAACTCAAAAAAAGCCTCCACATTCGAGAACGCTAAGTAGTAGTAGCAGCAGTAGTAGTAGTAATAGTGGTACTTCTAGTAGTAGTTGTGACATGGATATTGAAACATCGGAGAGTGATAGTGACAGCTCCTCAGAAAGTGATTCAAATTCATCTACTCTTAGTAGTTTATCAAATGACAGAAACAAAACGTCGAAAGCAAAACCATCTTCAAATGGAAAAACTAATACGAAAACGGCCAATGCAACAAATTTAGAGGCCCATCGTAAACTGATTGAACATGATTTAAAATTAAGTGATTCTGACTCTGATTCTTGTGCATAGAATGTTCTAGGAAAAAAAGCTGTTTTCTGTGATTTGTGCTGTAAATAGTGATTCTTACTACAAAAAGACATTAAAGAAGTATGTACCACTTTTCCGTATATGATTATCTCTTATGATTGATTTTATTTGTCTTTAAATAAATACTGCTATTTACATGTTCCATTCTTCCTTGCAGTTATGTGAAAATTTCGTTTTATTCCTTATCTTTATATTCCATATATAACTCAGATGTTATGCAGTCAAATGATCTTGTGAGATTTATTAACTCATTTAAACCAATAGCTGTTACACCAAGATTATAGTCAGATCTACCTCTAGTGGTACTAAATTCTAGTCATTCTCTTCTCGAGTGTTCGTTCTAGCAGTCTTATCATCCCATGTGTATTGACTGGAGAATGTTTCAGATAGTTTAACCTTAAAGACAGTGAATAGCATTGACTTGATCTGTGATATACTGTTAACATTTACTACTCTGCCGATAGAATTATAGGACTATTGATGTCATTGCTTTTTCATGGGTTTTGGAGCAGTTATCCTTATTATTACAAAAACAATGAAAATCTATGTAGAGTGCTTTTCAGTTTTCAATACTACCATAAAACCGATAAGTGTCTTCTTTCTCGATAAATCCATTTGTGTATTTTCGGCAGAGACAAACTGAAAGCTCTTAACTGGTCAGTTAATTTGGACAGTAAATATTAGGTCAATCCTCAAACACCATGTTGACCTTGTATCTCTGTCTTTCGATATAGAACCTATTCTATGGGAATTTTGATTTTTAATTTGTTTTCTTTTAAAGAGCGATTCAGTGATTTACCTGTTAAGTGAACAGACCATATCATTAGTCGACTCTAGACAGCAAATTATTTCCTATCTTTTTACACTAATTGTAAATTTATTCTGTACTAAGATATGTTGCTTTATTACTGATAATGACTCCGGATTAGCCACCCAACAATTTTAGTCAACTATCTTAGAATAACATCAAGAAACATTGTTTGTTTTATTAACTCAAATGTTGGTTTAGGAGCTTAACCTTTTAAACCATCGAAATCTGGTGTTTATTGTCCTTCAACTACTGAGTTCCGAGTTAGTGAGTGAGGTGGTAGTCGATATGAAAAACAGGGATATGATTTATCCAATGAATACATTTCAAGTAATTTGATTATACATTTACTAGTCAAGACATTCCCTGTGAAAACTGAGGAAGGTCAAATAGATAAATAATGATGTCTGGAAATTTAAGAGACAATTCGAAGTGTAGATCGTATCTGAGCATTCATTTCACTCAACTGTTCTAGAAGACTAATAGACTTTCAATATTAATTGATTTTCTTGAACTAAATTCTGTCTTATATTGTATTTTTACATGGACATTCTTCTTAGTAGAAAAACTAGGATTAGTTAGGGGATTTTCTTATAGGTCGATTTGATTTTTAATCTGTATTTGTGCGTATTGCTGAGCGATTCTACACTAGAATGGAGCAGTTGTCCAGTGCTTCCCGGTTTTCAGTAGTGCCCCAAATGAGATGAATACAACCTAAGGATTTAGAGATATTTACAAATTTAAACAAAGCAAGAACAGAGTTCGTAGAGAAAAATCTATTGTATTTTGAGTTTTCTCACCATTTGCTAACAACCTGAAATTACAGGAGGCGATATACTTATTAATTGTCACAAATTAATTTGTTTTTAGTGTTAATTGTGTAGTCGTTCATCATTCCTGTTTTGATTATTAGTAATCGTAATATCACCTCTACAACTGTTCTGCAACGTATGTACGCGTCAATTTCAACTATAAACGGAATACACCCATTATGACATTAAATAAGAAAGAAAGATTAGTTCAGCGAAGAGTTCTCTTTTCGGCGAATTCATTTTCAAAGCTGTACAATCGCAAATATATATACTTATTTTTACAGGGTGATAATAATACTGATAATAAACTTCTGTTATACATGGTGACAGTAAGGTTAAATAAACAAAGGTATTAGAAAAAATTTTTAAAACAAGGAAAGTTTGATAAGTAATGGCTTAGATATTCATCGGGTAAGGGTGGCTCAGCATGATAAAATAACATAAAATGTTGAAACAGAGATGAAATATAATCGGAATGATCGTGGAAATAAAAACAAACCGGTTGGGGGTACAAGATTTGAAGGGAAGATGGAAGGTGAAGCAGGTGGCTGTAAAAGAACAAGAGTAATGAGAAAGAGAAAAAAAAAATTATTTTTTTTTTAATACATTAAGACCATGGTAAAAGAAGAGGTTGTACCAGTCTCTTTTGTACACATAATTCTGGTTTTTCAAAATGTATGGCTATTGCCTCGGCAATACAAAGAAGATGCAGTCTAATGGTCTTAGGAAGGTTTCTACTTACCTTGTAGATGACCTTGAACGCGGAGTCTGTCTTGATTGAGTGACCTGTGTTCACAAGGTGTTCGATTATAGAACTTCTTATTGAGCCGCTGCAATGGGATCCCCACTTGGTCCATTACTGGCAGATTGCTTCATGGCCTGTTTAGAAAACAACCAACTTAAAAGAATTATAGAAAACTTCCACTTATATAAAAGGTATATGGATGATATCTTTATCATTTGTGATAACAAATGTAACTTAAGTGATCTCCTAAATACATTTAATAATTGTCACCCATCAATAAAATTCACAATTGAAGTTGAAAGCAAACAAAATATTCACTTCCTTGATGTAGATATAACAAGGAAACAAGATGGTACTTTAAAAAGATCTATCTACAGGAAACCCATGTGGAATGGCCAACTATCAAATTTCCACAGTTGGGTTCCCATCAGCCGAAAAAGAAACTTAATAATAACTCTCACCACAAGAATACGAAGAATTTGTAGCCCCGAGGTCGTAGAGGAAGAATTGAGTTTTTTAAAAGAGATACTTATCAAAAACGGATATCCTTCTATATTCATTGAGAAGAACATGAAACCGAAAATGCCAAGACCACAAACAATTGCAGTAGAAAAGAAAATTTTATACATGAACATCGACTTCAAAGGTGATAGAGCCGCATATATCTTAAAGAGGAGAATTTCAGATTCTTTAAAAAGAACATTTTTCGCAGCAACATTGCGAATATTATTCTCCAGCCGATCACTGTTCACCAATAATCTGAAAGATAAATTATCGCATCTGACCAACTCAATGTGCATTTACCAATTTACCTGCTCTTGTGGAGCTAGGTATATAGGTCGTTCGATGCGTACTTTATCCAAAAGAATTCAAGAACATTGTCCGGCGTGGTTAAGAAGAGGAGGCAGCGGCTCAATAAGAAGTTCTATAATCGAACACCTTGTGAACACAGGTCACTCAATCAAGACAGACTCCGCGTTCAAGGTCGTCTCCAAGGTAAGTAGAAACCTTCCTAAGACCATTAGACTGCATCTTCTTTGTATTGCCGAGGCAATAGCCATACATTTTGAAAAACCAGAATTATGTGTACAAAAGAGACTGGTACAACCTCTTCTTTTACCATGGTCTTAATGTATTAAAAAAATTTTTCTCTTTCTCATTACTCTTGTTCTTTTACAGCCACCTGCTTCACCTTCCATCTTCCCTTCAAATCTTGTACCCCCAACCGGTTTGTTTTTATTTCCACGATCATTCCGATTATATTTCATCTCTGTTTCAACATTTTATGTTATTTTATCATGCTGAGCCACCCTTACCCGATGAATATCTAAGCCATTACTTATCAAACTTTCCTTGTTTTAAAAATTTTTTCTAATACCTTTGTTTATTTAACCTTACTGTCACCATGTATAACAGAAGTTTATTATCAGTATTATTATCACCCTGTAAAAATAAGTATATATATTTGCGATTGTACAGCTTTGAAAATGAATTCGCCGAAAAGAGAACTCTTCGCTGAACTAATCTTTCTTTCTTATTTAATTTCAACTATGTTTAATAACATATGTTACTTATCATGGTTTTCGGTTCCTTCATAACTATTCATTTCAGTTTCAATTACTAAAGTCTGTACGTTTGCTTATTATTATACTGCTCCTTTTCAGTTTAGACTGTTCATAGTTGTTAATAAAAGGCTTCGAAATACAATTAGTTCATTTTATTCTACAAATTTTGTTGTTTTTACATTGTTTAAATTTATCAAAAAGGGCAAACAGATAAAATTACCTAAGTGCTCCATTGGAATTATTATTTAATGTTCTCTGAATTATAAATTCTATGCTAACTAAAGGTTATTCATGTTGTACCGTCCAACTATTTAGTTTAATCAAATCTTTGAAATTTTTCAAACCATTAATTTCTATAAGATTTGTTGAGTTGTGTTTTTTTCTTTCCTATCATTTTTTAGGGTACATTTCTGTGTGTAAAATGAACTATCAGCTAAATTATTATACCCTGTGAACTCAACCAACTTTCACTGATTCTTCTCTATCCAACTCAAAAAAAATTTATTGTTTTAATGGTTATAGTTCAGTATATTGTATTACGTCGCGATTTGTCAACGGTATTAAATTGGCCATTAGGTGCATTAATTGCACAAGGTTGTCATGCCGCGACAGCAGCCATTACTACTTACTATACACATTCAGATACAGTGTTATATCTAAACGAACTAAATAGAATGCATAAAACTGTTTTAGGAGTTGAGAATGCGGAACAACTGGAAAATTTGGCAAATAAATTGAAAGATGCCGGTATTGATTATTATTTGTGGATAGAACAACCGGAAGATCTATGCACAGCATTAGCTACACGCCCATACGAGAAATCAATTATTCAGGTTTATTTTAAAGGACTTAAATTATTATCATGAACTAATATAAATAACGTTGTGTCATAGTGTTGTTTTGTGGAATTTGTGAATGCAATTGTCGAAAAAAATCTTGTTTTTGTTAAAATAAACAAAAGAAGGCACTTCTTTTACATTATTATTGACAACTTAGTCGTTTAATTCGGCATGTTTTTTTCTGACGATAGTTTGTAGCTTTTAGTTCTTTTGATTGGATTGTTTAACTTTAACAGTTAATAGATTCTTAATCATTTCTTTATACGTTCAAATAACATACACCCAGTTTTATTTATGGCATACTTTGGACGTGTGGACTGTTGATAATTGAATTTTCTTTAGACAATGTGTCATGTATTTCAATTTGAGATTCTTTTTCGATGTATTATTAGGTTTTCACAAATAGGTAGTGGTTCTTAGTTCACATTATGGAGGTACAAACAGTTTTTATAGTAGGAGTTTCCCCATAGATTGACATGTGTTCGCATGATTTTGGAATTTGGGATTATTCTACTTCTATGGTGATAGAATATTGCTACATACCTTTTACTTCCAATCGTCAACATGTACATACACTGATTAGTACTAGTATATAAATGTCTAAAGAACTGAACTTTGTAAATTCACTCCACGTAAAGGATTTCTACTAATTAATTCAAATCTGTTCGAGGTGCTAACCTGACCCATTATGAAGAATGTGCACATTTTATTGTATCCAGGCGACTATCTACTGTTTGTGAAGTCCTCAAGGTTTTCCCACCTTAATTCAAAATATTAGATAAATTACATTACACAGTGATTGTCACTTTCCAAACAGAAAGGAAGTTATGGGTAGTGGTTCGCACAGAATTATCAGTTTACAATCGAGAATAAAAGACGAAACCATGACACCGATGAATGTAAGACCTTTATATATAAACAAGTTAATGGAGATTAAGTACGGTATCGAACACTGATCTCAGGAAAACTGCGACCAAACATAAAATAGCAAATGTGAATGAGTAATTTATAGTACAAAATGAAAGAATTTGCAGAAAATATGTTGTGTTTGCATCATTAATAAACATCCCAAAGTTGACCAAAAGTTCTAACTTGAGTTAAGCGTACTTTGTATGGTCTAACCTAACAAACACTAACGAAATGTCGAAGATCGTATTACTGCCGTTATTGATAATCTTGACTGAGTTTGTATTAGTTGACATTTGTGTATGCTGTACAGATAGCATCAATATATCGCTAACACTGATATCCAGTTCGTGAATTCCAAATAAAACGAAACGCTTATCCTGAATTCCATTGTTAGACTCAAATCCATAAATTCTACTAAAGACCGCAACAAATTTCACTTTCCCGTTTCATTAGTACAATTCCGACTGAGTTTTCTTCAGTATCTTAACGTCTTATTATTACTCATCAGTGGTTTTCTCATTAAAATTAATCATTATACAGTCACGAGTTGGCACCATGATGCTGTGTATCCACTACAAACCTGGAACCACTTTGATCCTAGTTAGTTGGAACTAATATTTTACCAGTTGAATTCATGAGTCGAACTAAGCTAAACCACCATTGGAAACCTGGAAGAAATGGATTATCATATGCTTACCAGTGACTAGATTCAAGATGGACTTCTTGGAGCACAAATGAGAAGCCGTGACCAGTAGAGTCCAATCCCTGTTTGGTGGAGGCAGTTATCCACCTCAAACAATGAGCGAAGTGTTGCACAAAATCATGGATCGATTAAAGTTAGACATTAACACTGCTGAATGCCGGCTTAGTTGTCCAGAGGTTGTGTTTGCGCTCGAGTACCGCATGCGAGATCTTGGACCGTACTAGTGAGGAGTCCCATACTAGAACGAAACGGCCGTCCAGTTTAATTATGGTCTAGCTTACATTGATTCATGAATTCAACCATTAAAAATTACTACAATCTCTACAAATCCCCATTCTGATAATATTTTACCATCATTGACTACTCATTGTGAACCAGATGACTAGCTAGTGAATACAAACAGGAAATATTAATTTAAGCTAGTCAAAAACGCAATATGTAATACAATGTACTATACTGCAGCATTTCGATTATCATCAGCTACGGATAATTATCAATCATATTGATCACCTACATTCAAAGAGATTAAATCAAAAATCAATATTTTGATATTTATCTAGTATAGTAGAGAATTTATAAAATGTTTAGAAAGAAATCCAAGAATTTACCAATTTATGAAAACGAATCACATTATAAAGCCAATATAACTGGAAATCTAAAAAATCCCGATCATCATTTTTCATATGACTCGAGTATTTCAAGTAAAAACTTGATGTTTAATAAAAAGTTAACTGGCAAATCTAATCAAAATAAAGCTTTAAGTTTAATTCACAAAATGAATATATTCTCACGTAATAGGCGAACTATCAACAGAAAAGTCAATTATAATGAATATGTTGATTCAGTTCAATTTGATATACCTAATGATGAGTCTATGGAAGAAAATGGATCACTTAACTTGAGTCTTTCTCCAACGCATAAATCAGAATTCGATAGTAGAAACACTTCTCCTATTTATTGTGATCGAAAATCTGAACAGCATTGTAACTCTAAAGTCACTAGACTATCCACAAAATCTATATCAAAAACAGATTCACAAAAGAATGATCCACTCCACACGGATATATACGCGCATGATAATAGCATATATGGGTGTACAACTATAAGTGAATCATCTGGATTTAAAGAACAACAAGGTGCAATTTCATCCTCATTACCATTCACAATCCCGGATCCAACTGCTTACAGAGATTTAGATAATGCTAGTCCTGAAACTATTGCGCTATGTCGTCGTCATTCATGTCACTATTGCTTCTATGTTTATTTTCCATCATCAACTGTGAGTTATGTATATATATATATATATATATATATCTTTCATGTGATTATTTGTTAATCTTACATTATAGTCTACTTTAATGTATTTTTAAATGCCTCTCGAATTTAAAACAGCGGGGTAATATCATCATTGTTCATCTAGTATGTAACTTTAGAATTAATTACCATTCTAAATATAGTACTATATATATATATATATCTGACAAACTAGGAAAGATAGGCTACACTGTAAAATTAAAGGTAGGTATCAACTGAAGGGATGTATTTATATCATAAAATCAACATTACAATCTTAAACTAAATGTTTTACAATCGATAGTTAAGTGTATTTAGATCAGATTAACTTTGAAAGGTATCAGTATCCACAAGATATATTCACACATTCAGTCCCTTTTTAACCATCTCTATAAATTTGAATTAAGTCAATAAATTTCTCTATGGAAAGAGTGTTCTATATTATCTTATTATAAAAATACACTGTTGATAGGAATATATACATATATTATTTTGCTAGAATGTCACTCATCATTGGGACTACTTCAACTTGAATAAACTATATGATTTATGGTACAAGAATTTCATCGGTATGCTTAAGAAATGTCAAGGATAGGGTTTAGTAGTATTATGCACCCTACTTTTTATTTTTACGTAGAAATAATCTATGGAGTTACTAAATAATTGTTTGAACTTGCGCAAGCTAGTACCTATCTAACGTTAATAGTTTAACGAGTAATGCGTTTGGTGTTTTATATGAAAGGCCCCAGGTTCGAATTCTAAAATGAACCTTATTACTGGGATGTGTGTACATTCAGTTGACGAGCCCTGAATGGTACGAAACGCGTCCTGGGTTCCACTGCTAGCAACTACCCACCTTTACCTAACAACGTTTTTTGAACTGTATAAGCAAATGTTTGTTGGAATTCATTAACAGGATGGCTAATCACTCAGCTGATATGCATATTTGTTTTAGAAACCTCGAATGGTTTACAATTCCATACTTTTATTCCTTATGCTTCTGGCATACTTCCATCTTTCTCTCCCTTTTCTGTAATTGTGATGTGAATCAATCTCCGATAATGCCAAGTTATTGTCTTATTGTATTCAGTTAGCTAGTTTATTAACGTAAATATAGGACTTTTTGTTCACTTGATATTGTTTTACTTGAATCTTCCCATTGATGTTTTTGGACTGAAATTGATCAGTCTCTTATTGGCATATGTGCATACTGTGCGTATGCCTCGATATTGCCTTAATTTACAAGCATTATAAGCAAAGGTGGATAGTGGCTGGCAGTGGAATCCAGGACGCGCGTTTCGTCCTGTCTGGGACTCGTCAGCTGGATGTACCTGCATCTCAGAGTTGATGTTCACTCTGGGACTCGAACTCAATACCGTTCGCTTCAAACGCCATCGCGTTGTCCACTTAGCTACTGAGTCCTGATAGCCACTTGCTTGTGCAATGGGTTGAAGTTTAATTCACTTGGTATTGTTTTACTTGAATCTTCCCATTGATGTTTTTGGACTGAAATTGATCAGTCTCTTACTTCAACCGATTGCACAAGCAAGTGGCTATCAGGACTCAGTAGCTAAGTGGACAACGCGATGGCGTTTGAAGCGAACGGTATTGAGTTCGAGTCCCCGAGTGAACATCAACTCTGAGATGCAGGCACATCCAGCTGACGAGTCCCAGACAGGACGAAACGCGCGTCCTGGATTCCACTGCCAGCCACTATCCATCTTTGCTTACAGGACTTTTTGGTCTATTGATTGAAAAAAGAAACTGTGGCATAAAAACTATAGTCTCAGTTTAAAATTATGTTAGGTTCCGATAAGTATAATGAATGGTAACTTTGGGACCCATTTATGGACCAATACTGAACGTATATTTTTATCGTATAATTGTTAAATAACTAAACTATTCATATTCTTCTTATTATAAGCTTTACTTTGACCTATGAACCATTGTTACACGTCTTACCATTCTTGAATTATGCCCTGTCTATTAGTCCCACATTTGGCCAAATTTTGTACAAATGTTATTTTCTATTTTATGGTACGTTGTGGTCTGTTTGATTGGTATATATACTGAGTATGTTTGAAATATATGATTCATATCACAGAGGCTGAAATTAGTGTTCTGGACTTAACTGGTTGGGCTAGGCGGACAGCAGGACCAATCCGGACTCTAGGCTGCTCATACGGGTTTACGAGTCATTGATCCGATCGATAAGTCACTGTTCTGTGATTGGCGGTATCGTTACATTATACATTAACAGTGCACACAGGTCACAAGTTATAGCAAACTGTCAATAATCAAAGTACTTCTGGTTGCTCTGGACAAGATTATTGTATTGAGATTATTAGATTGCCTAAGAAATCAATGTCAAAAATAGATTCATATAACCACATACTATAAGCCAACTCACTCTATACAGGCCTTAGCTGGAACTCTAAGATTTCATGCAAACATTATGTGCGTCATTTACTCGATCTCACTTAGTCAATATGGAGAACCGGTGTACCTTACTTTCTGTGTATCTGGGATTTTCAGTACTACTTCTCTTGGCCTCACTTGTATAACATGAAGTTTAAAAGCAGAGCAGGCTTTTTTGGACAGGTTTCCAACAGACATAAGTTCATGAAGACGTTAGCAACTGAATTGAGCCATGAAAGTGGGTGGAAACTACCTAAAACTGTTATAATTTTTACTACTCTTATATTTGTCTTGATAATTTGGTCTCAATTCATCAAAATTATCCCTACTATCAAATGAATTGATTTAAAGATAGCACAAATGAAAGAAATTTATGCACTGCATAGCTTTTAGCAATCTAATGATTCAAATTTAAACTCTGTGTACAAGAGCAACATCTCTAATGTCACGACCCACTTTTTGGTCTGAACCTCTTTCCTAATGAGTATAATTTCTAATTCTAGTTTTTTTAGAACTATTAATCAGTTATTATTGCATTATTCAATTATTCTTTTCTTTAAATTCATCAGGTAGACAATCATATTTAAAGTGTATTCATCTTACTTTTTTGTTCATTAGCCTGTAGCTAACAATGTAGTGAACGAAATCTCACGTATGATATATTAATTTACTATTATATTCAAAAGTTGAAATCATGAGTCAATTGAAGCTAGACCGCCATGGAAAACCTGGAAGCACTGGATGGCTGTTTCGTTCTATTGTGGGACTCCTCAGCAGTGCGTGTCCACGATCTCGCCCCCCGCAAGATTCGAACCCGGGACCTATCGGTCTTGCGCGTGAGCAATTAACCTCTAGACCACTGAGATGACATCCAGCATCCATTGTCTTCAGTGAACTGATATCTCACAACAAACCTGGTTGAACTCCACTGGTCACTGCTTCTCACTAGAACTACAGGAAATGTCTCTTGAAGTCAGTCACTAGTGAGCAGATGGAGATTTTACGAATTTCAATAGTTGAAATCATGATTCAATTGAAGCTCACTGAAGTCAATGGTGTACGGTGGCGCAATTTCGTGGATTGGTTGAAGTTAGACATTAACACCGTTGGATGCCGGTTCAGTGGTCGAGTGCTCGCGCGTGAAACCAGTAGGTCCTGGGTTCGAATCTTGCGGGGAGCGAGATAGTGCATGCGCACTGCTGAGGAGTCCCACAATAGGACGAAACGACCGTCCAGTGCTTCCAGGTTTTCCATGGTGGTCTAGCTTCAATTGACTTATGATTTCAACTATTGAAATTTCTAAAATCTCCACAAAACCCCTTCTGATTTTATATTCAAAATCGCACAGTCTGTTTGTAAAATATGAAAATCATGCATTAAATACATCATTTGCACATCATTCTTCAGTTGTACTTTACATACTCCATTATTCTTCTAATTCTGTTGATAAACATTCCACTTTCTATTCCTGTTACATATTACTTATATCTGTCCATATACGAGGTGCAAACTATAACTACAAAAATTTCTTTTCATATTGAATTATTCCTAACAATTTATGACGCAACTTTTTTTGTTTGTTTTTTCCAACAGCATACCGTATATTATGTTATACTAGTTTATTTATAAGTATACATCTTCAATAAATTGTATTGTCCATAAGGAAATTTCCCCTACAAAATAGTCTTTAATATGTTTGTTTGTTTTTTTCTGCATTTTGTTTTCAATCTTCTCATTCTCTAGGTAGATGATTGTTTATTACCATTTCGAAGAAAACATTTCCAAGATAAATTTTCACAATTAAAACATTCACAATATATTAATGAAATTAAACAAACTAAATATGCACAAAATATATTTTCTGATCGTCGTATTCATTCAATTGAAAAACAATCTGGTACGCAAATACATTTAAGTGAACTTTATTTAAGTATAATATGTATTAAAGGTATACCATGTCGACGTTTAACTATAGCAGGTCCATCATTTGTTAATATTTGTTGTGCATTAAATTTATTAGAAAATTTATTACCAAATATTATTAAAGGTGCTATTTTTCCATATCGATTACCAGAAGGTTTATCAACACGTTTTCCATCTGGTTCAAGATGAAGTTCAATGTGTCAATGGAATTATGTAAGAGATAATGTTTCAACTTTGTTCAAATCATAATTAAATGATAAAGATTAAATGGGTATCAGTGTGTGTGTGTGAATGGTTTTAACAGGCAATACTCAAAATTACTAATATTCAATTAGTAAAAATGTGAGTTATGCTGTTGTTGTTTTTTAATATCAAGGAAAGAAGTGTAATGCCTGTTTAATTTTATAAAAATCATTAATTTCACTACCAAAACTTGTTCGTTATCATTTCTTGCCATCACTTAAACAAGAGGAAGGTTGATTATTAATACAGTGGTCTTCAATGCTGTTAGAGGTATGACGATGGTTATCACTTCTCCGCTGTCCACACCGTTGAAGGGTTCTTCTGGAGATACCTGAGAAGGAAGTTGGATTAGAGGTGGTCTTAGTGACCTGAGAGCGTGTCAGCAGTGCTCAAGGGACAACTGCTTGAGGTCGGTCACACACAACATTTTTATGGGTAGTTTTTGTGTTAGCTCTGTACTTGTTGAGACCTTACCACCAAAGACGGATATCCGTGGGATAAGGTGAGTTGTGCATTTATAGGGTCGACCTCTTCTAACCCCACCTCTCCTTGTGGGAAGGCAGCATCGCTGCTATGCTGGTTGTCTGAAGAAAACACCTTACTGCTGTCACACCCATGTACAGTCAGCAGTATGACTTCACCCGCTTCGGACCTTGGATTTGCTGCTTTTAGTCCTTCCGCTCCTCAACCGACCTGTCTGGCATGTTAGGACCTTGAGAAATGATCGTTCCAGCCAGTATAGCTCGATTGGCTCATCACGAGAGGCAAGCCCAACCACCACATCAAGGTAGCCTGAACTCCGATTACCACAACGCGCAGTGTTGACTAGTGTAGGGGATGGTTGGAAGAAAGTTAGGGACGGCCAAACCAAGACGTGGCATCAGTGCTTGAAGCCACTAACTTCTAGCCTTGGCCATGTTGGTGGATTCAGACTACTTGGTTGGGGTCCACGTCATTATCGTAACCAATGTTTGGAGACTCTGGGTGACATGGCTCAGGATCGATCACAATGGCATAGGTGTATACACTCTTTGTCTTCCCTTAAACTATGAGATTAAAATCCCTTCATATCTTTCTTTCTACGAACTAATTCTTTCTTCCTGTACTATACCCTTATATGCAATCTTTCTTTTGTATATTACCACCATTGAATTAACTACTTCTATGAATGTGGTGTTCATCTTACTGTGCTAATGTGGTATGGAAACTTGGACCGATAAATATATGTGCCTAGTTCTACCTTGTAGATGAATGACTGGCAATCTCAATCTGAAAAATACACCTTATCAGGCCAAATATCGTTATTATTAAAACTCAATAAATTAGTTGATCATATTAAGTCATTGAAAGAACGTTAGAAAAAAAGAAAATTAAGAATTATTTCAGTACTCATGTATGATAATTGTAGGACTAATCTACTACAGAAGTCAATCCTTGATTTGATCAAACTTATAAAAATCAACATGCGTCAATAACCTTTTAGTAAGTTTTCGTAATGTAAGAAGAATTTATTTTGATAAATTTCCTTTCGTTTCACTTTAGTGGTTAGTCTTATTATTTCCCGTTATAAAAACAATAATAATAATATTGACAGGAAAAAATTCTGATTTTAACATTGTTGAGAAGTCCCGAACTAGGACGAAACGACTGTTCATTGCTTCCAGGTTTTCAGCAGTAGTCTAACATTGGGCATTTCATGATCTCAACACAAATTATTCCAGTTTACGATTCACCCATTCTGTAATTCTCACTGATCATGATTGATCTGTGAACATAATTCAAACTTTAATTGTTCTGAGATAAATTTCTATTGTATTAAATAGTGAAAATCTAGATTTAAAAACTATATTAGGTTTACTTCAGATTGTATATGCATTTTGCTGGTGAGTATGAAGAAATGCGATAGTTGTGTTTACAATTTAATGTTTGACCAATTAGCTGGTTGTTGGGAGGTATTCGACAGAAAATTCTGAACCTAGACTTCGTACTTCTCCGCTTTGATCGGCAAGCTTTACCTGTTATCTTCAGGGAATTGATACATCCTGGTGTATTCGGTTTCTTGTCAACCAGCCCCACAGTTAGAGACATTACTGTCTAGGTTCAGGGTTTCTTTTTGACTATCTCCAACCACCCCATATTTCAACATAGCGCGCGTGATATCAAGTCATTTAGACTAGTGACCTTAATACAAGTTAATCGGTAGAATCTGATCAGTACTAAGAAGAACCTGACATACATGATATTGACCACCATTCAGTTATGAATCGGTTGTAAATGTTTTAGACTTTATTTATACTATGTGTGAAAATCAATTAGATAATTATAACTTTGAATAAACTACAAAACAACACTTTCAGATCCTAGCCACTGGCTATGCAGATATAGAGTATAGGTTAGCACACTGGTAGGTTGAAAGAAGGCTAAGCTCAGCTGAACGAATGTATGATATTAATGCATGTAGAAATAATCCACGTCAGAAGGGGCAGATCACCTGGTAGCACTTTGTGTAACAATCATAATCAGTAGTTTGAGGACTTTGGTGAAATGGTTGAGAATTGATCTTAGTCGTTCGGAGCTATTCACTCCTTATCTTACCTTAGATCCTCACTTTTCACATGGTTGCATCCCCACCAGTTTGTGATTTTATTCATTCTGCTAGAATTATATTCTCAATGTTTACGTTTCCATTGTTATTATTATTATTTCAACTACTTTTATTCTCATTTTGTCAGTTTACCCTTTTGGTTGTGTTGGAGTTGTGGAGTAGTAAAGCATTTACTTTGTTCCCTTTACTGAGAAAATACTAGTACATAAATGGTACGTCCTTCAGTTAACAGTAATCGGAAAAACAATTTCATGCCTTAGTATTATACGAAAGTCTCGTTGAGCTAAAGCATCATCATTGATGGCAATTTATTAAACTTGGCTTTCTATAAATTAAATACACTATAAAACTGGACATTAAAAATAGTTCACAGGTAATCTTGTACTCAAAAGTGTTGCGTAATGCCAAGATTTAGCACTAGTGAATAAGATGTTTAATAAACCTTCATTGGCGTAGATGTAATATCCATTATCAAAAAACGGTCATGACCTTGTAGTTATGCTAATTTTTTTTCAAATACTTATGTTTTCCTTAAACCATTTACTAAAGACTATTACGTGTTTACAAGATTAATGACTATTACGGTGTGCATTCATAAAATAATGATGTACTCTAGAATAGTGTTACTTCTGATCATGTATTTCAATTACAATTCGTGCTTTATATCATTGACATTTCTATGGTAGATGTTCAGTTAGAATAATTTATGAATCAAATCTTTTTGGATAATGTTTATTTTCATTATTATTTAATTGTGTAATCAAAAGCACAAATTTATTTAAACTTATAAGGTCAAACATCATTGATAGAGAGGATGAGAAAAAGTAACCATCTATGAAATTTAAAACTTTTATGAACAAAAATGCAATAAACAGAGATGATGATGGTCAGGAGTAGAATTTATGACGTGCGTTCCTTCTTATTTGGTACTCATCAGCTGAATGTGACTGAAACTCAGTTGATGTTCACTCCGGGACATGAACAAAGTTCCGGCTGCTTCAAATGTCATAACATTATCCACTTAGCTGCTGATTTCAGATAGCCACTATCCTGTGCAACGAGGTAAAGTTTAACTTATTTTTGTATTGGTTGTTTGAATGTTCCTATTGATGTTTAGGACTGCAATTGATCAATCAACATCATCTCTGCTTATAGTGCTTGTGACTTAAGGCAATATCGAGGCAATCGGAACAGGATACTCATATGCCAATAGGAGACTGATCAGTTGCAAACCTAAACATCATTTGGAAAATTCAAACAACCAATACAAAAATGAACTAAAAATACAATAAATTATCATAAATTAAATGTTTGACTAGATTAGAAAGAATTACAACACCCAGTTTTATTGATAACAAGTAATGGAGGGTTACGGTAGGCTACAAATCTTCTAACGAGTTTTCCAAAAAGTAAGCTATCTTATGACTACATTCTACAGATAATAATAATAATTTATATTATTATTATCATCATCTGATGTTGAAGATGATAACTTATCTAATCAGTTTAAAGATTTCAAGTGCCCCATAATTTTAAATAATTGTTTAACAGATCAGTCATTCATCTACAAGGTAGGACTAGGCACATATATTTATCGGTCCAAGTTTCCATACCACATTAGCACAGTAAGATGAACACCCAATTCATAGAAGTAGTTAATTCAATGGTGGTAATATACAAACATTGCATATAAGGATATAGTACAGGAAGAAAGAATTAGTACGTAGAAAGAAAGATATGAAGGGATTTTAATCTCATAGTTTAAGGGAAGACAAAGAGTGTATACATCTATGCCATTGTGATCGATTCTGAGCCATGTCACACAGAGTCTCCAAACATTGGTTACGATAGTGACGCGGACCTCAACCAAGTAGTCTGAATCCACCAACATGGCCAAGGCTAGAAGTTAGTGACTTCAAGCACTGATGCCACGTCTTGGTTTGGTCGTCCCTAACTTTCTTCCAACCATCCCTTACACTAGTCAACACTGCGCGTCGTGGTAATCGGAGTTCAGGCTACCTTGATGTGGTGGTCGGGCTTACCTCTCGTGATGAGCCAATTGAGCTATACTGGCTGGAACGATCATTTCTCAAGGTCCTAACATGCCAGACAGGTCGGTTGAGGAGCGGAAGGACTAAAAGCAGCAAATCCAAGGTCCGAAGCGGGTGAAGTCGTACTGCTGACTGATATTTTTTAATATAACAGGCAATTAGAAATTTAAAATGTTCAAACTGGTATATTATATAAAACAGTTAGTCCCTTTGATAAATTTCGATAATGTGATAAGAAGAGGAAGATTATCACAACTACATGGTGATATATTAGCACAATACAGTTTAAA